GGGTTGATCCAATCTTGTCCACCTGTCACACTGCAAGTTACAATCTCATAATCTCTATGTGTAACTGTTTGTAATTGTATAGTACATGTACTAGATTTAAGGTTTGCTTCAATCGGAGTGATGGTAGTTCCATGTCATCACTGCATGTTTTTTGTATTCTCTGAGTGCATACAGTGAACAGAGAGACCACACCATGCATGTTGCTTGGAAGAGGTTAAAAACAATGGAAACTATTAAACAGTCAGGCCAAAAAGTGGTCACAATCCCTTATGAGAGGTTCTAGTTATAAGGCTTTGACTGGGAATAATAGACTGATGGTTTTAAGATCTTTAACCCATTAGCCTCTGGAGATTTTGCCGAAAAACGCCTTTTGAAGCTTGTCGAGTGGTTTTCTGGTCACTGTCGTGCTGTTAAGAGCTAAAACTTACCACAAAGCCGTTTGCAGGTTGCACACTTCGCAGCCTTCTGATCCAGTTGCAAAATATGACCTTGTGAAGTTCAGGCATGCATAGAAATATGACATACAGTTGGGTAAAGATTTGAAATAAAATTGAAATACATGTAGTCTCTTGGCACTGAATTTTTTTTGGCCCATGTTACATTTAAATTTTATGCTTAGTCTGTTACAGCAATGACACAAATTAAAATCTCCCTTACATGCTTTTAAGAAATGTCTGAAATGTAAATCAAAAAGGGCTAAACAAGTGACCTAACTACATTGTATCACAGCAGCCCTTAATGCAAAACAAACTTGCACTAGTGTGTAGGTCATTAGAAAAGATGCTGTCCCGGTTGTTTTGTATACAACTGTAAAGGGTAGTCAGGTGTGCTTACAATTGTGCACTCCTGCAGAAAAATATGCGACTTGCTTTTATTCTCACAAGAGATTGGAAGTGCATTGGATGGTTTGAAATTTGGATTTGAATTCTTGAATCAGAATGTGAAGGCTCTATGGGTAATGTTTGCCTGTGTTGTCCAAGTACTGTAGGACACAAGTCATTTGATCTTGGTGGTGCCATCAGTTTATTTCTAATGCATGTTATACCGGTACATCTAAGGGAGCTTGAAACCTGATGTGGACCTGCTAAGTAGTGCACCAAAGGACATAAACTTGTTTAGACACTTTAGAGCATGACTGTATTGGTCTGCTACTCCATTACCAATAGCAGCGTGGCTTTTCTGCCCAACGTAAATTAATACAGTCATTCAGCTTTGAGACATATATGTACATGTATACTGATATCAGAACAAAAGCAGCACATTTTCCTCCATTATTTTAAGATCCTGATTGTTGGTTGGGCTGGGGTTTGATCCCGTGACATGCCATTCAGCACAGACAGTAGCTCAATTGAGGTAACTGGGCAGTACTGTATCCTGTATGCTTATGGTGGAGAGGTTGGAGTTGTCTCTTTTGGCTGTTTGGCAATGCTAGTCTCAGGTTGAATGTTTTGAACAGCCAGAGAACACAGAGGTAGAACCTATTTCTTTGTCTAAAATGGTACAAACACCACCAGCGGGTAACTGAGAAGTCTTTTCAGTGATTGTTATAATGACTGAATTTGGCTTTGGGGCACACTGAATGACAATCCATTTAGCTCAAAGGGTTGAGTAAAAATATCACAAGCTTAATTGGACCTGGACCCGTAATGAAGGAGTGGTTATCTCTTGATTCTTTCAGCGTGTATTTTTTAGATCGATGTTCAGATGGATTCCTGTGTGTGGCCTGTGTACCTTCTCTTGAAACATTTACCATGGTGTTTCCTTTTGGATATTTTTGAGCTCTTACGTAAATACGATTACAAATTTTATTGGCTTTGTCACTTAAACAAAGCAGAAAATTGCTGCTATAAAATAGTATTCTATTTAAAAAAGAAATAGGGGGAAAATAGTTGACCCAGTCATTTTATAAGCATAGAATGGCTATAAGTTTGAGAATTTCTGGTTAGATGAAAGTTAGGAAATGACATATAGGATCAAAATCATTATGGCCCAAATTATGGTGTGGCTATTGGTCATGTGTTATGTGGACTTTGTGTGGGCTATCCTTGCATAAGTTGCCGGCACTTTTGTCAATCTATTGTCTTTTGCTTTAGATTGCTATGTATTTTGTAAAGTTCCCTTTGATTTGTGAATAGCATGGGTGTGCCCCCCTCCCCCCAAAAAGTTATAATATTATTATTGTACTTTGATCGAGCGATCTTCGTTTTTGATCCAGGATCTCACTATAGGCAGAAAATGATCGCTCCACGTCATAAGATCCAATAGTTGTTGTAGTGTAGCAAGATGCCAGCTTGAAAAGTTCAGGCAGGGCACTTGCCTTTACATACTCTGGCAATAGTATTAAAAAGCTGCAACTGAAAAATTTGAATCTTGTGCCCATATTTCCCTTCAGCTTAATGGTATATCCTTTGAACTAAAATCACATTGCCCTGAATGTCTTCGCTGAAGTCCTCTTTCCCTGATACACTGATCTTCCTCATGAAAGGGATGCAAAGGCTTTTGTGAACTGGAACCACAAAATGCTTTTGTGAGGTCCACAACAGTGCCTTAGGCATAAAAAAATACAGCTTTTAATCATGCTTTTCTTATCAGAGGAGGGTGTATTATTGGTGAAAACTTGGTGTCTGTTGATGTTTCATGGAACCTATTAGTAAGTTCCTTGATATAACTTTTTACTGTGTCCGAGTCACTAAACTTGACACCAAAAGACTCATCAATCATCAGCAAGAGGAGTAAAATATAGCATGACAAAAAGGATAATAATGATAATGAGATCTGAGCCCCACTTCAAGGTCAGCACAACTTACCCAACCTGTCTAGTCAGTCACAAGATTTACTCCTTCATTATTTTCTTTCTCAACTCCCGTAACTTTCCATCTCCCAAATCCACATCACCATTCCAAATACAATGTACTTTTCATTGATTCTATCAATGCCTCTTTCATCAATGTCTTTGGTTTCCAGCTCTTAAAAGTAGTTATTAATAGTACATTTATTACTCTGTAATGTTATCATATTCACATTAAAATGATTAAGAAAATTAGAGTTGCTTAAAAAATCATCAGTGAGATCTAATGCTATAGAATTATAAACGTGTCTTGGCAACTTTGGTGAGCCACCGCCTTTTCTTTTCAAGGAATGCTTCAAAAGAAAATTAACTATCATGAACATTGGTGCTCTGCATAAACAATGGCTTCTAGTAACATCTTAGCCGTGTGGCTTTGCAGGTGTAAGGTATGTTTACCTTAATTTGTTTGCTTTTCTGAGTTGTAAGGAAAATAAGGCTGAAATCAGTAATGTTGATGCAAACATATTTAGAGAACGGCATGTATTTATCAAATTCTACCTAAACAGCTCTCTTATTGGTCAAAGACTTATTTCTTTGGTGGCTCCTAAAAGAGCCTTTTTGTGTCTTGCAGTGCAGGGTTTGTTCTTCTTTTATGATTTTTTTGGGATTTTCTAGGTTTTACTGCTGCATCTTGTTGGTGCCGCAGTTACTGCTTTGGTAGACCGTTCAAATACAGAAGTCAGTTATGGTCTACATCAAAGTAAGACCATGATCCTCTCTTTGTCTCGGCATTATTTAGCACGAAGTCTATCTGCAGTGCACTCTTTTCCACTTTCTCAGGGGCCCATGTTTGTGAAAGGAGGCTCCATCTAGTTATCAAAGGTGGTGAGCAACCATTGCCCAACCAAAAAAGCATGAGTTTGAAGGTGTCTCTGTCACGGATGGGCTTTTTCCATAAAGCCAACCTCAAACTCCCCCCACCAACCACTCAGTGGAAAAAAGGCTTCTTTATTTATGATTGCAAGGAGTTCTTTCCTTTCTTCTATCATGTCTGCCTTTGACAGGCGCAATATACCTGATCATCTCTGGATATTCGTTGACAGAAGACATCTCATTGACAGTAGTTGAAATGGTCTCTTAGTGTATGTGAACAGTGAGAAAAAAAAATCATTAGTGAGATCTAATGCTATAGAATTATAAACGTGTTTTGGCAACTTTGGTGAGTTGAAATGGTCTCTTAGTGTATGTGAACAGTGAGAAAATGGTAGTTTGAAACCACATGTCAATCAATCACAATTTCCTTACAGCCCTCTAAAAATGAATAAGGGGGAGATTATATATCATACCAAACTCTATATTACAAGTAAAATATTGAAGTTAAATATGCTACATGTAGTTGTATGTACTAAAAATATAATGGGTATAAATAGATGTATTGCAACTCACAATTACAATACTGAAAGAGTAACTGATATGTTTGTAAGCCTGTAATATTTGTCTTATTATGAATTTATGTTGTTTAGTAATAGAAAAGTGTATTAAAAACAAGCAAACAAACAAACAAGAAAATGGAATATTATTTTGATAAAAAGCAAAGAGTTCTTCTTTTGCATCCATGTTTCTTCTTCCACCCTTTTCACTGATCTCTCATGGATGATGTACGACAGGCTATTCTACTGTATATGAAAAAAGGCAGGTCAGGGAAAATAATATTTTCATTTCATGCTTCATGGTAAATAATAAGGGAAAAAAGGATAATGAAAACATTAACATTTATTTCTTCCTCATTTATGCCAAGTCTTACATCTGATGTTTGCTTTCCTTGATGGCATGAAAAGATTCTTGATTAACTCAAATTGTTATTCTGCTGCGAGTTGTAGCAGCATGCAGAAATGTCTCATTGTCATGGTCACTCACTATCTTTTGACAGTGCTGGGGCGGATCCAGGATTTGACGAAGGGGGGTTCGGATAAACGCCCGCCGAAGGCGGTAGCCCCTAGGGGGGTCCGGGGGCATGCTCCCCCGGAAAATTTTTTATTTTAGGGCCTCTGAAATGCGATTTCCAGCGTTTTCAGGGGCAATTTGAAGTGGCTTAATTGCTCTAAAGTCACCTCCATTTTTGTACTAACTACAGTAGTTTAAAGGATGGATTTTCTTAACACTGACAATAATCAAGACGGATAAACATTTTAAATTCATTCAAATTAAAAATTCATGATTCCTCAAAAATGAGATCAGCCAGCAACATTCTCCGGGGTTGCTGTTCTACAAATTTCTGGACTACAGCATCATAATCCACGGGTTTCTTGTGGTGAATATTCATGAGCGCCAAGCCAGACAATCTTTCTGTCGTCATGGTGGTCCGCAGGTAGCCTTTAACCAGCTTTAAGGTACTGTTTGCTCGCTCGTTGTCAGCTGAAGTCACTGGAATAGTGCATGCAATGCGCAGCAAACAGTGGATGTTGGGGAAAATGTCTGCGTCACAGACCTAAGATAACAAAAAAGAAATAGTTCAGTTTAATTTGAAAGGCGAACATTAAAAAACAAAAAAACATTAAGTTCTGTACCTCTAATGCAGGTTGAAGTGCGTCTGGTTGGCTTCTCTCTGACTGCCACTTTCTCGTCCATCGATGGTACTCGACATCCAGAGTTTGAGGGTTTGGCAGGTCTGAGCGGTACATCTCTGAAACCGCATCAATGTTTGCATCTGTGTGTGACACGGTGATGCTTGGAACTAGACCCAGTAACTGCACAGCAGTCTTCTGAGTATTACCAAATCTAGAACAATTCAAAATATAACCACTGATCAGAATTTGCGTATTTGTACTCTGTTGTACTTTGTGTAGTGTGACTGTTATAACTAGAGAAGAGTAAGGGAACAGCTATGGAATCTGATCACTTTAAAGGGAAACTCGTCCTGAAGGTCGTGTTATTTTGCAAACAACGTAGCTAAAATGTCAAGAAGACCTGATAAAAACATATTACCTTGAAGACATCTCTTGTGTAATATGGTCAAGAAAAGGAACAAACAGATTGCGACGGTAATATTCCTCAGGAGTGTCATGGGGTGCATTTGCCCGGTGCTGCTGTCTTGAGGCTGTTCTCGGAACGCTGGGCTCGGTACCTAGGTCTGAACTGAGCTCGACAGCATTAGAGTACCATCTTTTGAACACAGCTTCAGCCTCGTCTCTCTTTTCCTTCAACTCTTTCTCGGTATCTGATATCATACAGTATGCCTTCACGATGTCATTAGACTTCTTTTGCAGTTTAATGCTAATCGGTTTAATGACTGCCAAAGTTTTCATGGTGACTATTAACGCGATGAGAAACTGGAAAGAACAACATGTGTGGTAGAAGCCATTTGCCTTCTGGAGAGTCTCTCTGTCCCAGTTCCAAGGGGTTTCGGTACTGTATTGTTTGTGTTGCTGTTCGTCCAAAATAACCTCAAAGGTTTTAACAATCGACGGAAGTAACAGCGCGAACGTTTCGTATGCCTCGTGACGTTCAACCCAACGAGTACGGCAGAGGTCACGGATCTTAGTTCTCTGCGAATCCGGCTGATCAGCGCTGATTACTTTCTCCAAGCACCTCTGCCGCTTTGGAGAATAATTGAAAAATTGTGAAATCTCCGTTATAGTGCCAGCCATGTTGCGAACTGATGGTAAGCTACATGCTTTTACTATAACGAGATTCAGTACATGGGAATTGCAGTGCACATACAGGGCCTTGGGGTTTTTCTGTGCTATTAAGCCTTGCACTCCCCTCGCTTGTGCAGACATATTCGAAGCACCATCGTAGCCTTGGCCTCGGCAGTTTGAAATGTCCAGACCCCACTGGTCCAACTTCTCCAAGATCAAGGAAGAAATGACTTGACCAGTTATTCGATCGGTGCATCGAAAGTCTACAAACTCTTCGCGGATCATGCACTCTTTGTCGACAAACCGTAAAACCAAAGACAACTGTTCGAGATTAGCATTGTCAGTGACTTCATCGCAAAGAATTGAGAAGTACTTTTGCTTCTTTGATTTCTTGAATTATCGACTCCCTTATGTGGTCTCCGATTAGCATTATGAGTTGATTCTGTATTGTTTTACTAGAATATCGTGCATTCGCGCGGCAGGTCGCTAGGTGGTTCTTTAAAACTTCATCGCCTGAGTCAACACGTAATTCCAGCAAAGCTAGAAAGTTGCCCCTGTTTCCATTTTGATCGGCAGTGCTGTCATCTCTATGGCCTCTCAATGCAATGCACTGTTTGCCGCAAAAATGGACGCACTTTGCAACACTTTTCACAATTTCTCTGTTTCTGTTAATCGTGCGCCCGCGTTCGCTTTCAATTTGAACTTGGATGTTTTTTTTGCGGATTCCGACTTGTCGAGAGAAAATTATCGTATGCAACCATGGCATCGATGTGGTAACGATGTTTCTCATGTTCGCCACACACTTTACTTACTTTTGTCCACCGATTGAACGGAGTGGTTACTAAGGTACCTAAGCTTTCGCGTATGGCAAATAAAACGCATGGGAGACAGAAACCACCGTCACATTCCTTGCTGTAAACGAGCCAAGGATAACGTTGCTGCCAGGATATTTGGAAAGACCGATTACAACCATTCATAAACACTTTAGGAAAGCATAATTCTCTCCTGGTCGAAAATGGTTATTTATGATGTTCAGTTTCTCAGCTTGATTTAGAGACTTAAAAGCTGTTTTCTGACGAAAAAGAGCACCAACATCAACGTCATGAACCGAACCATAACAAACAGGATCATCTCCATCTTTATCAGTCTGTGACGCTGCAATGAAAGCAAATTGCCATTGTACTACCTTTTTAAAATTCTTTTAATACCGTTTTGACATACGTTTAGAACAGGACAGGTAACAGAAATCGCACAATTTTTTACAATACAACTAATGTTCTTTTTCCTTGCACAGAAAGCCAGGGTGTTTGACTTGCAAAATATTTCTGTGGACTTCTAGTTTAAAGAGATAAATAACCCAACTTGACATGTTTAAAATCAGTGAAAAGTCGTTCCCACAAATTTGGGTGATCCCAGTTAGGGAAAAAGAAAATTCGGAGAGTTGGCAATTCTGCAAAATATCTCGAGCTTGATTTTCGGATATTGTTTCACATCCACCAGCGTCGATAATTTTAATGTCAGGTAAGGATTTTACTACAGACACTAAGGAAATTCCGCCTACTTGAAAACAATTAGGCATTCTTAATATTTCCAGTGTACTTTTTTTTTTGTAAAGGGAAGTTACTAGACTTTCTAATGTAATATTTTGGCAACTTGTTATATCAAGTTCCCTTAAAAGTAGGCATATGTCTCACAAAGTGTAAAGAAGAAATCGACGTATTGTATGCAAGATCCAAAGATATTAAGTTGCAACAATTCATTAATTTTTGTTCAATAAAAAAAGGGTCAGTAATAAAAGTTAGAGGTCTTTGCGAATGTCTAAAGCCTAGATGCCGTAAATCCCTATCGTGTCTAAATAACGAATTAAACGAATGAAGCGTAAATTCAGCGTTTGAATAAACAGTTCTCCAAAGACTAGAATCATGCATGACATCATAAAGATATCTGCAGACTGGTGCAAGGTATATCATGCGTTCTTCCAATGAGAGCCACTTTGATATTTCCAAAAGGACTTCGCGAGGAAGACTCATCATGGTAGCACCTGAGAAAAAATATTGGAAAAGCCCAACTCAGACATAATAATGGACCTTGTTTACATTGTTCATTTTATTCATTCCGCCGGCAAGGTCTCCAACAAAGCCGCATCAAACTGATAATGATCGTGACTCGACACACCTGCATGTTTACAAATTTTTCTTGGTTACTCTGGATTGTCACATAGAGAACAGAATTCTGCTTTAAAAAGCATGAGTCAGTGAAGTTAACAACTGAAGCACTGCTTTGCACCTAACATTGTGTCCGAGCTTTGATGATGGCAATGACGTTTTCCATTTTATGTCATATAGAAGCTTAAGCTTTCTGATTTATATCACTAATTTCAAAAATGAAATACCTTGCTTTGAAGAAGATAGAGTTGTCTCATTTTGTCGAGCGACGGTCACTGGCAAATCTTCACTGCCTCTACCGGTTTGGGTCACTTTTTCGGTCTCTGTAAACACAAAATAAAAAAAAGTGTTGACAAGTCCCAAATTGATAGCTTGTAGTATTTTTTGTTATGGAAAATGTTCTTACCGGCATCGCTAGAGCAACAAATCCTCTTTGCACTACTCGAGCTCTCATTCAAACTGCTGGAAGAATTAGATGATTGGTCAAAAGACTCATTATCTTCGCTGGTCTCCGATCTAGAGAAGAATATTTAGAATGTAAACTTATGATATTTCAGTTTTAAATCGATTCATGAAGCAACTCTCGAGAAATCACCACTGTCTGCTTGCTAGAATTAAGCGTACTCGTGTAATACACTAATCTATTAATGCTTACCTTGCTGATGACGGTCCGAAAAACCGGTGAATTAGTGGTTGCTTTGTCCTCTTCGACATATTAAGTCGTGAGTTGACGTCGAGGAACGTTTAAGTCAGTTTTCTCTTCAAAACACTCCCGGCGCAATCTTTGACTCACTGAGAGAACGATCCACAACTCTGATTTCCAAAGAACGGCGTGGCTTTACGCAATGCCGGAATTGGAATGATTGGCAGATTTGGCATAAACTGTCAGTTTTGGCGGGACGTGTAAGCGTTAATAAGCAGTAGTTTTATAGCTCAAGCGGACGTACTAGAGGCCATTTTCAACTAGGCACAAATTTGTCTTGTTTTTATTGCTGTTTTCGCGTACAAAGACACAAAGAAATATTATTTTCAAAATATATATTTTATTTTATTAGCTGAGTTGGTTCACTTTTTTTTAACCACGTGTTTGTTATACGTTTTCACATCACGTTCAGTTTAGGGGGTTCGACCGAACCACCCGAACCACCCCTAGATCCGCCACAGCAGTGGATGGTGTGAAGATGGCAAGCAATAGATACAGTGGTGGCGAAGGTTATTTTGAACAGTCAAAAAGTGAAGGCCAGGATGTGTGACCCACATAAAGCAAGTGAATACAAAAAAAATAATCATTCAAACAAAAGCGGCAGCATAAAAGAACATGGTGTTTCTGAAAACAGAGCATAACTAGAACAAATAAAAATCTTTGCAAAGGTTGAACTGTTGGCGTCAAACATGGGTTTGAAGTGTGAAACAAAAGTGTCTGCAAGAAGCTAATCTAACGCTTGAGCACGAGGTTTCACTGAAAAAGCTGCATTGGTTCCACAAAACTTCTTCGATACTCGGTTTAATTTCACTTCTGTTCCCAGCAGAGAAGCGTGAACATCCAAATAAAAGAGGCAGCATGGAAGAACATGATATTTCTGCCAAAACAGAACGTAACTAGAAGAAGTAAACATCTTGGCAAAGGTAGAACGGTTGACGTCAAACATGGGCTTGAGGTGGGAAACAATGGTGACTGCATGGAGCTGATCTGACTGATAAGCTTAAGGTTTCATTGAAAAAGCTGCGTTGCTGCTACAAAAACTTCTTCTATACTCGCCTCTTTTAAACTTCTGTCTCTTGCTAGCAAATCCAACAACATATAATCAGATTTTTACTTACCGGTAAATGAAAATCAAGATCTTTAATAGAAACAAAAGCTTTCTTATCGATGGTTACCAATAGTGTTTAAAATGTGTTTTTCCTCTCTCTTGACTGACAAGTCATGCAAGGGAAAATATGTTTGTAAAATAACTTTACATAATAACCTGTAATTATTCAATACAATGCAGGAAAAAATACAATACCATACAGTCACTTTACTTAGTTTACGGAGGAAGACAAAACAACCCTTTACAGTTTTCTACCTTACAGCCCTTTTTAAGAGGGAGAGTATACAAAAGTATGTAATTACAAGCAACATATTGAAGTTAACGATGCTATAATTAAAAATATAGTGGGTCTAAACGTACATACGATATTTTTACTTTACAGTAACAAAAATACTTAAAGGGACTGGTTCACGATAATGCGCATGTGTGAGTTCTGACAGTAGCTGATTGTTTTTAAACCAATCAGAAGCAAGTTTGATGCACGCAAGTAAATTTACAAATTCAAATAATTGTTCGCGACGCGAGAGTATTTCCGGGCATTTGGTTTGATTTTATTTATCCCCATAATTCAAGTTTATTCTTTGTCACTCCTCAGATATATGTTGCAGCCGATAAGAATAAGATTTACAGCCCTGTCCTGCTTTGAAACAAACATTTGCCAAAGTGTATTTTTACAAGGTCGTACCCACGCTAACAAAGCAGTCACCGATCGGCAAACAAAATTTGTGAACAAACATCTGATTACTGTTCTATCAGTTCGCCTTATATAAACCCAGAAATACCTACAAATAGAGCCTGACCGGTGACAAAACCACACAACGTATGAGTATAAAGATTATCCTTAATTGAGCATGAATTTCAATTGCTTATCAGCAAATGAACAAGTTCATTCGCGTTGCATCCGGTCAGTGTTCCGCAAAACAAAATTTGTTTTAATGTTAATGTTATGAGAGAAACAACTTGGAGGTTTTCCAAAAAGGTAGCTTTTAATGTTGCCCGCTCTTCAAATTATTTTCCATTGATAACACTGGACTGGTCCTGTGGAAGCTCGACTTTTGTCTGTCTGTACAATTTTTTTGTGTTCGTTCAAGTGGTGTTGCTGCAGCCGGAGTTGGCTTAATGTGCAGATTTACCTGCAGGTGAAAGGAATTTCAGACCTAAAGCCAATTTATTCTTAAAACCACCTGCTAATTGAAGCCATACATACATGGTAGATTGGCATCAGTCGTTTGAATTTAGATTATGTAGCACTTCCAAACCTGTTGCGATGCAGATGTCTCCTAGACATTTTCTTTTCTTATCAATGTTTACGGGTGGTGTCTACTGAAGGCAGAGGTTCCATTAAAGAAAGGTCATAGAGGGTCTTCTTCGCAGTGGCACATGGAGTCCAAAGATCTGGGTGTTTTGTCCTGGGTAAATTCTACTCAGTCTTTTGTGAGTTAATTAAATAGAGGGCAGGTGCAAGTTGACTGCTTCTGACTCTTAGAGGTGTTTGCTGTCCAGGAGACAATTGAAAAATTTCATTGTTTCAAGTCTCCTGGAAAAGCTGTGTAAGGTTACAGTTCCTTTTTCTTACAACCAATAAACTGGGTTATTCAAATAAGATCTGGTTCTAAGGAAATATCAAATAGCAGGGGCAAACTAGAGTGAAGAATAAGGTTTAGCATGACTTTCACTTCATTGATTAAGTTGGATCTCAGAAAATGCTTTTCATTACAAATTTTTTAACATTTATACCGTGTTTATATTTGCCCTTATAGCAACTCCAAAAGGTCCTCTTTCAATTCAAGCAAATCTTTCGTAATTATGCTCTTAGGAGTAACTACTTCTTATAAAAAGTGCTAGCATATAAAGAAGTCTATTACTTTCTTCTTTTGTTTTCTTCCATGTATAAAAGTAGCTATTTGCTACTTGTTTAGCACTCTTAGTTCTTAGCTCAATTTTTCTTTTACTATCCTGGCTGTACTGGAAAGCAAAAAGAGCCGTTTTTTGATTAACGCAATTCTTTCTTTGCCTGCTTTTTCTCTTTTCATTCCATTCTTGGAGCACTGATATTGTTGACTGCATGTTGCTTCCACATGGTGTTTCAACTCAAATATGTGGGGGGTTTACGAGCAACTCGCACCAAACGGCATGGTTAAGAATTCATAAAGACCATTATGTGTATCAAAAGCAGTCTTGTCTTTTTTTCTTGAGTTAGGATACATTTGTATTCGCCAAAATCACTTTTGAGATCCAAGGTGGAAAATACACTTGTGTTAGCTAAAAAGTCTGGGGCATCAGCGTCGAAAGGCATTGGAAAGCTACCTACTTTAGTGACTTTATTAACTTTACGAAAATCAATACAAAATTTATGTGATCCATCCTTCTTGTTTTCCATAACAACTGGAGAGCTCCAAGGAGAGACAGACTCGAGTAATTCCTTTTTCACGAATTTCGTCCACCTGACGGTCGATTTATTGGAAGTTACAGTCCACACATTAAATTCGTCCCTCACAATCTGTTTGATATCCTCTTGGATCAGTGATCTTTTACATGCTACATAAATATTTAGGTTTGACACACATTCTGTATTATCTCATCAATGTAGTAGATCGATCCATGGAAACATTATCTAAATCGTTAAGGATTATTAAAATGGAAGCAAGGTACATTACGACGATTTCAAATCTGTATGACAAATAAAGACCCAGAGCCAATTTCTTCTTAAAACTGCCTGCTAATTGAAGCCATATGTACACGGTAGATTGCCATATCGCTCGTTTAAATTTGGATCATATATCATCTCCAAACCTGTTGCAATGCAGATGTCTCCTAGACATTTTCCTTTCTTATCAATTCTTTGGATGCCATAACTTAACTCCCACATAGTTTTACAGGTGGTGTGTAATTCATCTGATGTTTTGAAGCTTCGCTTGGATCTAGCATTGATTGTAAAGATTTAAGCTGGCATGATTCCGAAAGTGACTGTCCATCTGGATAAATCTGAGGGAGAAAAAAACAGAATAGAATGGTAAATCAGATGAACTCCATGCGGTTCTTGTGTCGTGTTAACCAAGTGTGCAAAGCAAATACGTGGAGCTGATTTAATGGGTTATTGGATGTTGAAGAAAAACTTTTATTTACTTCAGGTTTTTTTTTGGTTGATTTTCAAATGGGTTTTGCCCACTTATGGTGTTTATCATCTTCCTGGCATCATTGGAGGTGCATGCATGTGTATGCATTCTGTACATTTCGGCTTGGAGACTTTAGGAAGAAACCCATTTTTATTGGCTTCGCCTGGGAGTGAAAACATTTTTTTGCAGGCTTTATCTCAGATACTTGCTTGGAGACACACCTATTCTCAGGCTTTTTTGTGGAGACTTGAGTGAAGACTTACCAGCACATTCTGCACTGTTACTGCTGCATCTCTTTCTGCCAGGGCTCGAATGAACACACTGTTGACCATCACTGACATTGAAGATCTACCACAAAAACAAAAAGTCAAACATTTTATAATACAAACATTTGTAACGATCAATCAACAAGTTAAGAAGTTCAAACGCAGTTGTAACGTCTGTTTGAGTCAAAATTGCTTTCGTGTGTGTGTAAAGCATGTACTTTGAGGAGATATTGTACACTGACAAACACTGATGGACTGTTTGTGGCAATATAACCAGGCATGGTTAGGAACCATGTGACAAGGTTGTCCATGGGCATGAGCATGTGCTAGTTGCTTCGTAAGCAAGTTATTTTCTTTCCTTAATGCTTCTACATTATTTTTTTCATGTTCTTTCCTTGCTCACAAGTGCAGTCAGGAAAAAAGTGCTCTTCTGCAGCAGCAGGAACTTAACACAATTCTTTGAACGTTTAATAGATAATACCTTGACAAGAAATATATGTATATGAATAAAAGGATCCCCT